GTGCGCGGCGGAAGCTTCGAGGAGCGACACGAACAATCCAAGAGATAAATCACAACTAATAAGAAAATCACAACCACAGCAAGAACAAACGATTTACGTGGTTCGGCAAGTTGCCTACGTCCACGGGGCAAGGAGGGGGGAGTTCTTACTATTAGAAATCAAGAGAATACAAATAGAGTTACAAATCTCACTGATCAAACCCTAAAACAAAGCTCTAGATCTCTCACAAATCTCTCACAATTGGATGCAACAATCATCTCTCAAAGACTGCTCAAAATCGTCCTTGCTTGACCCTAATTAATCAGGTTTAGTGTTATATATCAACTCAGAAGCGAACCGGATCAAAATCCAAAGCCCAGCCCAAAAACAGACTGCGGTCGACTGCGACGGTCGACCGCGCAGGTCTCGTGGTCGACCGCACGAAGCTCGCGGTCGACCGAACATCCCCGACAGAGAACCAAATCCTACAGTCAAACTCGCGGTCGACCGTGACGGTTGACCGAACTGATTTCGCCTATAGGGTCCCTGCGGTCGACCGCCACGGTCGACCGCCTTCAGCTCCAAATCCCACTGGCCTTCGTGCACGTTCGCGGTCGACCACGGCGGTCGACCGTCAGTCTGTCTGGCTGATTCTTTTGCTGTTTTCCTGTACTTTCTCGACATTTCTTCAATTCTCCACCTCGGCGAATGTTTCTACCAAAACTGAGCAGACACCAAATCATCCAATAGTTCCGCAACAGGTCTGGGAACCAAACTAGAGCTGAAACGCGATCTCCCCCCAATCTGAATCAATAAAACCGGCTGCATCTGAAAGACTGCCTACGTATCCTTTTGCCCAAGGAATCAAGCTGAACGTAGTTCACCCAAATGGCCTCCAAAGGCCTCAACACTGAAGAATGTTCAAAAGCTTCAAACAATAACCAAATTTTACTCCTGAAACAACTTTGGTCAACATATTTGCAGGGTTGTCGTTCGTGTGGACCTTCTCCAATATGACGTCTCCATCATCCAAAACGTCACGAACAAAGTAGAATTTGACATCGATGTGTTTCGTATGCGCATGATAAATCTGGTTCTTCGTCAAATAGATAGCTGACATGCTATCACAATATACCCGAATGGTCTCCTGTGCAATCCCCAAGTCCTCTAATAATCCACGCAACCATAAAGTCTCCTTTACAGCTTCAGTTACTACCATATACTCTGCCTCTGTAGTAGAGAGAGCCACTGTGGACTGAAGTGTACATCGCCAACATACAGGTGCACCTGCCAATGTAAAAGCATAACCTGAAGTGGACCGGCGCTTGTCAAGATCTCCAGCATAATCTGAATCCACATATCCAATACAATCCTGCCCATTCTTCTCATCCTTCTGGAATACCAAACCAACATCCACGGTGCCTCGAACATACCGTAGAATCATCCTTCTGGAATACCAAACCAACATCCACGGTGCCTCGAACATACCGTAGAATCCACTTCACGGCCTCCTAATGATCCTTCTCGGGATCATGCATGTATCTCGATACCATTCTCACGGCCTGTGACAAATCTGGCTTCGTACACACCATTGTATACATCAAGCTACCTACTGCACTGGCATATGGGACTTTTGACATATAATCTCTGTCCTCAACTGAAACATTTGACATCAACGCTGAAAGCTTAAAGTGGGGAGCCAATGGTATGCTGACTGCTTTTGCATTGCCATCAATGTTGAATTTCTTCAACATCTTCTGCAAGTAGCTTTTCTGTGTAAGTTTCAAACTCCCTTTTACCCTGTCTCTCTCGATCTCCATACCCAATATCTTCTTTGCCTCTCCAAGATCCTTCATCTCAAACTCGGATGACAGCTCCTCTTTCAACTTTCAAATAGCCAAAGAATTCATGGAAGCAATAAGCATATCGTCAACATATAAAAGCAAATATATGTGCTCACTATCCTGTAGCTTGTGCATATAAACACATAGGTCATATGGGCTCCTCGTGTACCCTCGGCCAATCATAAAGCCGTCGAATCTCTTATACCACTGTCTTGGTGACTGTTTCAAACCATAAAGAGCCTTCTTCAGCTTACAAATCAAGTCTTCCTTTCCTGCAGCTTTGAATCCCAAGGGTTGTGTCATGTAAATCTCCTCATCTAAATCACCGTGTAGAAAGGCTATCTTTACATCCATCTGGACCAAATCCAAATCCAACTGTGCCACCAACGCCAATAAAATTTGTATCGACGAATGCTTCACAACGGGTGAAAATACCTCGTTGTAGTCAATGCCCTCAAGCTGTGCATATCCCTTGGCAATCAATCTGGCTTTGAATCGAATGTCCTCAATAGAAGATCTCTCCTTCTTCGCATATACCCACTTGCAACTTATAGCTCTCTTACCCTTAGGTAAATGTGCAAGTGTCCAAGTGACATTCTTCTGAAGAGACCGTATCTCCTCCTCCATAGCTTTCCTCCACCTGATTGAATAGGGGCTAGACTCTACCTCCCTGAATGTAGATGGAATCATATCATCAACGACCTCCACTGATAATGCATATATGACCATGACATCATTATACCTAGCTGGCCGACGAATTACTCTCCTCGGTCTATCTGCTACAATGGACCCTTGAACATGACACTGTTCCTGATTCCCATAATCCACTGTATCCTCTATCTGTCCGGCTGTCATCTTATCTCTTCCCAGTGTCACCTCTATAAGAGCCTCGATGGATACAATGCTCTCTAGAGTGGGTGGAGTCACATCATCCTCCACCTGCTGCGATATCTCTCCTGTCTGGTCTCCCTTCACCTGCTAAGGGGCTCGAGGCCTCATCATGTACGCCTCATCAAATGTGACATCTCTGCTAATAACTATCTTCTTATCCTGTGGATCCCATAACTTGAAGCCTTTGACTCCATATCTAAATCCCACAAAGACTGCTTTCCTCGCTCTCTGGTTTAATTTACCATCACTGACATGGTAATAAGCTGGACACCCAAATATCCGAAGCGACTCATAGTTACTAGCCACTGAACCAAACCAACGGTCCAAAGGAGTCTTCCCGTCTATCGCAGTGCACGGCAACCTATTCACGAGATGGCTCGCATAAACCAACGCCTCGGTCTAAAAGGATCTAGGCAATCCACTATGCGTCATCATACATCGCACCTTCTCCAGTAAGGTACGGTTCAATCTCTCTGCCACCCCGTTCTGTTGTGGTGTCTCTCGAACTGTGAAGTGTCTTCTAATGCCGTGATCCCGGCAAAACTGTAGAAACGGATCACTCTTGTACTCTCCACCGTTATCTAAATGTAGAGTATTCACCTTTCTACCTGTCTGCAGCTTCACTTTCTTCTTTCACTCCACAAAAATATTCAGGACCTGATGTTTATGCTTCATAGGGTATACCCAATTCCTCCTGGAATAGTCATCAATGAAAGTGACAAAGTAGTTGACCCCACCAAGAGATGTGTTCTTGGAAGGACCCTAAACATCTGTGTGAATGTAATCCAATGTACCTCGGGTGTTATGAACAGCGGTGCCAAACTTCACTCTAGTCTTCTTCCCAAGTACACAATGCTCACACAGCTCCATCTTGCAAGTCTTAGCACCTTTCAATAGCCCATGTTTAGCCAATAACTGTAGGGACTTATCTCCTGTGTGTCCAAGTCTCATGTGCCATAGAGTGGTAGTGTCCTCCTCTGTAGTGATAGAAGCTGCCAGACCCCCTGTAACTGTCTTGCCCTTCAAGTAGTATATGTTATTTTCCCTGACACCTCGCATCACCATCATAGAGCCCTTCGTGACCTTCACTGTATCATCTTCTAAGATCACTCGATATCCTGCTGCCTCCAAAGTCCCAAGAAAAATTATGTTTTTCGTCAACTGCGGCACGAACCTCACTTCCTTCAACTCCCTCACTACACCGTCATGCATCCTAATCCGGACTGAACCAATACCACCAATAGGACATACGTGGTCATTACCCATAAGCAAGACATCCCCTCTTTCCAGCTCCTCAAAGCTAGAGAACCACTCCCTCTTAGGGCAGATATGATATGTAGCTTCCGAATCCATCATCCACTCCGTGGAATCCGCATAGCAAACCGACGGTAATGCAGGGTATGAATAGCCTGAAAAATCTGAATCTGAATGCCCACCAATAGCTTTTGCAGCATTCACTTCTGAAGCTTGTGCAGCTTTCCCCTTATTCTTCCCAGCTTTTTCTTTCAACTTTGGACAGTCAATCTTCCAATGTCCTTCTTTTTTACAATACTGACATTGATTTCTACCAACACTCTTATAAGCACTCCTATATTCTTTGACTTTGAGCGGTTGAACTGGCGACTGTTTGGATCTCGGCCTCGAACTACTAATGCATCTCCCGATGCCTTCTCAGAGGGTTCATCATCACTCTTTCTCAACTCATAATTCACCAAAGCTGAGGTCACCTCCTTATAGCTAACTGTAGTTCTTCCATTGATCATAGTGAGAACGAACATACCATAATCATCCTCGGACAACGAACACAGAAGTAACATCGCCTTGTCTTCATCCTCAACTATGATGTCCACATTGGCCATATCTGAAAATAGCTTAGTGAAATTATTGACATGCTCCTTGATAGAAACTCCCCTCGTCATCTTGAACTGGTAAAATCTCTTCTTTAGGTGAAGCCGATTCTCAATGCTTTTCGTAAGATACTTCTCATTGGGTGTTTCCCACATCTTCTTCGCCGACGTCTCGTTCATAACATCATAAATAAGATCCGGTGTCAAGCATGACCTAGTAACACCACAAGCTCTACTATTTATCTTCCTTCAAACATTGTCCTCCATGTCAGTGGGTTTCTCTTTTAACTCAAGAGTCTCCTCCAAATTCTGTGCATCCAAGGCGTCCATCACCTGATACATCTACAATCCGAAATTGATCTTACCGTCGAATTTCGAAACATCAATCTTCGTGTTATTGATGCTCAGACTCTGTATCGCCTTCGTAAGAGACGAATCTGATGTGCTTGCTTCTCCCATGTTGTCGATCTAACTCTTCAGATAGGAATCTTCACTGAATCCTTCGAACAAGCCTGAAGCTCTGATACTAATTGTTGTGCGCGGCGGAAGCTTCGAGGAGCGACACGAACAATCCAAGAGATAAATCACAACTAATAAGCAAATCACAACCACAGCAAGAACAAACGATTTACGTGGTTCGGCAAGTTGCCTACGTCCACGGGGCAAGGAGGGGGGAGTTCTTACTATTAGAAATCAAGAGAATACAAATAGAGTTACAAATCTCACCGATCAAACCCTAAAACAAAGCTCTAGATCTCTCACAAATCTCCCACAATTGGATGCAACAATCCTCTCTCAAAGACTCCTCAAAATCGTCTTTGCTTGACCCTAATTAATCAGGTTTATGGTTATATATCAACTCAGAAGCGAACCGGGTCAAAATCCAAAGCTCAGCCCAAAAACAGACTACGGTCGACCGCGCAGGTCTCGCGGTCGACCGCACGAAGCTCGCGGTCGACCGAACATCCCCGACAGAGAACCAAATCCTACAGTCAAACTCCACTGGCCTTCGTGCACGTTCGCGATCGACCGCGGCGGTCGACCGCCAGTCTGCCTGGCTGATTCTTTTGCTGTTTTCCTGTACTTTCTCACCATTTCTTCACAAAATACATGAGACATTGGGCACTGAAAGATGCGTAGGCTACGGATTCAGAAACGGATTCAGAAACTTGCATCATAACTATTAGCACGTTATTGTTATAGTAAAATTAAAGCGAAATCCATTTGGTATCTTATTGATTGACAAGCACAAACTGCAGTGAGAATGAACATCTCTTCTTCATTTCCAGAAAGTTACGGGACTTCAAATATTTGAATTCAAATATTTCAAAAATACTAACACCCGCAAAATCTTCCATGTTCACCTACAAGCAATCTCCAAAGCACTTTAGAATATCGATAAATCTTGCTTTCCTCAATTTTCTTGTTTCTCAATGTTCAGATTTTACGAGACGGGGTTCAAAATAGGTGCTACCAGGCTTCGAGGAAGTTCAGGTGAAAACAAGATCACCAAGAATAGTTGGGAGGAGCTACTAAAATATAGGAGAACAAGTGAAATAAATAAAACTATGAATAAGCTCTAAGAAAGCTATGTTTCAAAGTAGAGAATATAAAGGCTTCTTCTAGATGACAGAATAGTAAATTTAAAACAGATGAAAACTAGGAAGAAAGACAACGATCCCAAAACTACAGAATGATTCATGGCTGATAGAGGCATCATCACTTGAGGAACTTGTCAAACCAATCGCTGGCTTCTTTCACCATTGATGCTGTCATCAGATGCCCAATTCCCGGCTCTGCTATGAACTGAAATGTTTTTGTCAATATGTTAGTATAACTTGATATGTTAGTATAATTTGACTGTTTTTATTTGAGAGGAAGACCATGAAATGCCAAGCAAGCATGTATATTGGCTGTGGTTTCTAAACCTTCTTCGTAACAAAAAGGGGGTGTTTATGAGAAAAATACATCGTAAAAAAAAAGGAATTGGACTAAAGGAGATAATTTACTTGTAGACTTGTTATTTGAGGGATTTTATCTTAAATTTAATGGTTATTTTTTTCCTTAAGGGTAAAACAAAAAATGTGTATTCCTTGGTCGAAAGTGGCTCAGCATACCTTAAACTTTTCTGGACAATTGGCCTCTTTATATGCCTCAACTGCTCTGGAGATCGGAGTGTCCAAACCAGCAAGCGGACAACGAGGGTCATCAGCACCTGTATTTCAATGCAGTTTAACATAACTTGAAGAAACAGAAGAAGACAAGTATAAATTTTACAGTCAACAAAAGAATCCCCAGTATATTAAGTAGAAATTTTCGTATTTATTTTTTCTCCTTCATGTGTTGGTTTTTAGAAGCTAGCTTCGGCACTTCGAAATAAAATAGAAAAATAAAATCTACCGAACCCTATTGCAAAAGATGCGTGATATACCATTTAGAATAAGATGCGGTCGTGGTGCAATTATAGGAACTGTATACGGTGAGTCAAACTGCGAGGCTAAACCTGGAGCAATTCTATCCCAGACCTGTGAAAACCAGTCAGAGCATAAGCTAATGCAAGTTGGAGTGAAATACGAGTGGATCAGAACTGAAAATAAAAGGTATGAAGCCTTCACTTTTTCCACCACCTCCTTATCAATTGCTGCCTTGCCCAAATCAATCCTTGCTTCTGAAAAGATTGAGCAAATACAAAAAGATTTACTCCAGGCAGAAAAGTTAAAAAAGCTCTGAATATGGAGTTTAAGAATGATACTTCTTACTAAAAGGAATGGCAAATTTTGTGTCAATAGAAGGATGTAAAAACATCGGTGGTTACAGTTGTGCTTGTGGATCAGAAAGCTCAAGAAGGACAGTCTCATTCAGTCCTTATAATAGCAGACATAAAATACTACTTAAATAGCAAAAAAAGACGCAATAGCAAGAAACCTAGATGCCAGACCATGACTACTGCTTGGAAAAACCAAGCAGTAGATTCCCACTAATAATCTATCACTAACAACCAATCTTGATCAGAATTGTTCATATTAAACTTGTTGGCATTTGATTTACTCATTCTCTTAGTCAAGTAAAACGGGTAAGGCCGTATTTTCTTAGAAGTTTATAGTCTTTGTTATAAAGTAACAAAACCCTATTTAGAGAACACAATTTAGAGGAATTTGGCACCTTTCCACCAGTCTTCTGAAACTTATGGCAAAAGCATGTTCATGCTCCTTTTCTAGGCACTGGTACATATATAAAGGGTTCACATCGGGTAAAAGTTTCCATAATTGATAATTACATCTTTTCTTTTCTTTTTTTCTTTTTCCTTTTTCCCTTTTCTTAACCAATAGTTGCATTACTTTGAACCAGGCCACATGACAATCCTTCATGAAGCTGCTCTATAGTTCGACCACTGCGAAAGGTTTGGACGATGTCGAACACTGTGGTGAAGATCAATAGAATAAGAGGTGTAAATGATGAAAAGTAATAAAAAAACTCAGAGTACAATGCTTAATTACTATTTCATGAGAACCTTTCAAGCCTAACATAACCGATAAATATAGATGTTACTTCGGAACAAACCGTCAAAGACAGGTTTTATACTGTCAACTCTAGCTTGCCACTTGTCATTATCCAAGGCCCATCCAAACCCCTACAGCACGCAGCGAATGTTAGCAATTGTCATCCTTTAACACTCATAGGCATTCAAATTTAATCAGCTCACTTGAACACCAATTATAGGGACCACCACGGCATAACGAGTATCAGCTGCAGCAGCAAACCATGCATGCATACCTACATCAAATAAATTCCCATATGAGCTCCAGAAATCAACTATTTATGGGACAAAGTTGAATCCGGTCAAATTTTTCTATCCAACCTCCAAGGGATTCACCGGTAATCCCAATTCTAGCAGGATCAATGTCCTCCCTCTGTGTTAGATAGTCTCCCAATTTTATCAAGTCCCAAACCTGCCACTACACCAGTTATTTCACCTGAAGACCAAGCTGAAACATGTCCAACCAGTTCAAAGTTCAAGATGGATCAAACCATTAAAGCAACTATTACCGTGTCAAATATGAAAGGCATTGTGTCACCATTTCTCCAAGATGAGACCAGAGCCTATTCATGAGAAGAATAAGTAAGCCAAACCAAAGTAACAGTAAACAGGGAATATCATGCGTAACTGAGAACTAGGATTCTTTGTGACTTGTTTTGAGGGGTGAGAGAGAAGGAACATTTGCTTACATCTAGGTAAGTGGTCTTGTTGCTAGCTCTTTCTCCATGGTAGCGAGAATCAATTGCCACAGCAATATATCCCCTTGAAGCATATGCCTGTATAAAGAAACTCCTTGAGCAAGAAACAATCCTTCTGCAAATAATTTCCTAGGTTACTATGAGAAATATGAGAAGCGGATAGAACTACTAAGTCTGTTTCACCTCAAGTAATGGATGTAACCATTCCTTGCACTTGTAAGAACTATGCAAAAATACAATAGCTGGCTGTCTCCGTGGAGCACTTTCCTTCATGCTTACGATCAAGACAGGCAAACGGCCTTGATTACCAGCCTGCAAAAATATTAAAAGCAATATCAAGAGACGATTCAAAGCTAAGATGCAGTGTAAAAAGCTGCAGTTATATGAATTACATTATTGATCATACAACTCTGTGTATGGACTACTTGATGCTTCAACATTATAGACATTATTGTACCAAGCAATTTTCACTATATATGATTCGGTATACTTGTTTCTGCTTCTGTATTTCATTTTCAATAAAATTACCTATGCAATTTTCCATTAGACACAGGAACTCTAAAATTAGTGTTGCGAAGAAAAATTAAATAGTTTCACCTCGGTAATCAAGTAGAGGTTTTCCTGGACCAATTTATCCTTGAAATCAGTAATGTCTTCCTTTGGACATGATTCCATCACCTGTAACAAATCAACCAATATTAAAATAAATATGTAAATAAAATCACAATCTTAAAACAATCTGTAGACACAAAACTAACCTCCCGAGAACCAGGGAGGATCTTTCCCTGGTAAAGCGGATCCTTCACCGGCTCCCCAGTCTCAACCCTAAGAGGAACTGAAACAATACAATCCAACAAAATCCAATCAAGATGAGCTAAAAAATTCGAACTTTCAATTGGAATCGTTGAAACTGGGCGTGAAATTAGACCTAGGAGATGCCGCCGGCGACTGAGGAGGGAATCCATGAACTCCGACCGCAGCTTCGACGCTTCATCTCCTTCTTTCTCCATTTCAATTTTGATGCTGCAGTTGGGTTCGGTGCTGATTCCAGTGGGGATTTTGTAGTTGTAGATAGAAACCGCCGGGGTGCGGAGCACGTGCGGTACCGGTCGGAAGCACGTGACGGAGGGAAAGTGAGAGGCAAGAATCGACGCCATAAACAAGAGTACTATACAGGTGGGATTGGCGCCATGAACACGGTGGACACGTCAGCTTTTGGTACGGTGGGCCTAAAAATAAAATAACTTAAGTTGGATAACTTGTTGGGTAAATCTCACAAACCCCCATGAACTTTTTGCTGATTTGCATATCATCTTTCTGAACTTTGAAAATTGAAGTGAACAGACGGAAGAGTTTTTTTTGAGTTTTGCTACAGGGACCCAAAATATGGGACCAATAGGGGAGACAAGTGAGGTGTCCCCCTCCTATTGGATAATGAGTTGGTTATCATTAATGATGGCCAACTCATTATCCAATAGGAGGGGGACACCTCACTTGTCCCCCTATTGATCCCATATTTTGGGTCCTTGAGGAATTTTTTTTTCCTTCTTTTTTTTATTTTTTCATGTATCGTTGTCTACGATATATACTAAAACAACTGCCACAAGATGTCTTGTGGCGCTGACAAGTAGCAACTACTGTTGTCATCGTTATTTTTCTTGAAAATAAATTGTGTCTTACTATAACTAAAGATGTTTTTCTACTTCTTTATATCATACTGGTATTTTTAGTAGACAAAGTTTCTTATATGATATTTATTTATTTATTTTTCCAATAGCATTAAGGTATAATAATAAATTTCTGCTTGTAACAAGGCATAAATGCTTGTTACTGGCGAGAATATGGAATGAAGGCATCCTGTGATAATCATCTGACTTTTTGTTGATCCTTTTAGATGCTTACATGATAAGTGACTTAATGGTATAACACACTTACATTGTAGATTCTTTATCAAGGACAAGTATTATTGTCTTAATTCAAACAGAAATTCATTATTAATAGCTTAATACTACCGGAGAAAGTAAAAAGGGAAAAATGTGTCCAGGCCCCAAAAACAGAAACTTCATATGCTGCAGCCCCTCCTAGTTTCCCCCATGTGATTCAGCCCCTTGAAGTGTGACATTTTGTGCTGCACCCCCTTTTTAACAATTATTACATGCCAACTAAGCTAAAATCCCCAAAATAACCTTATCCCCTCTCCTCAATCCTTCAAACCCAGTTCTCTCTCTCTCTCTCTCTCTCTCTCTCTCTCTCTCTCCTCTCTCTTTAAAAACAAGGGCTTTCTAAAGCTCGTCGCTCTGGCCCTCGCCCTCCTCGCCGTCGCCACCTCCGCCCAGGCTCCCAAGCCTCCCCCGAGTTCGCCGCCGCCTCCCCTCCTCTCCTCCGCCCGACCTCGTCGCGGTAGCTCGCCTCGCTCCCCGGCTCGCCATTTACTACGCCGGCAAAATAATTTGGATTTCTTATAGATGCAGACCTGCAAAAAGTTTCGTGTATCAAAATTTGACTTAATGCCGCTTGACGTCATGTGTTCTATGATAAATTGAGAAATTTTGATTGGTCCTTGAAATGTTACAAAAACTCCCTTCAGTCTTTTCATTATATACCTACAAAAGTATCAGGCAGTCTAAATTGGTTTGTACACATAAGACTAAGTATCAGGCAGTCTAAATTGGTTTGTACAAAAGTATCAGGCAGTCTAAATTTGATGTTGGTATTCTTATCTTTGCTTGGATTTTGTCATGGAGTATAAAATAGAACTAACTTGGTATAAAATAGAACTAACATTGTAGACAGAATAGAACTGTAGACAGAACAGAACTAACATTATAGACAGAATAGCATATTCTTGTACTTTAACTTGGAACTAGATGCAACTTATGACTCTGTCTAGTTTCTGGTATTGGTTTATGATTCAACAAATGAGCATGCTCATATTCTTTACAGAAATTTACACCCTGTCATTAGATTGAAATAGAGCATTCTGGCTGTTTCGTCATTGGTTGACAATAACAGTATCAGTTTCTTAATGTGTTCCTCTGCCTGTTTAAGCTCTCGAGCTGGACTTCTGGATTACTATAGACATGTAGTTCGTTTGCATACAAGTTTTAGTGGTTTGAAATTGACTACGTGGTTACAGTTTTCTATTTTGGAAATGGGAACGTATCGTAAATCATGCAGCATTTTGCTCCTTGGCAACATTTTGGCTGACTACTATTCTCAATTCTGTAAACAGGAACCATGCTTTGAAAATGGGCAAAAGCAGCAGGAAGACTCTACACAATTGTCACGAGTGTGAAGAATCTGCGAGACATGCCGGAATGCCTCAATCTTTACTTCGAATCCCTTCAACCAAGTTTGTAATTGACCCAACAACTTTCTTATAGGGTGATTGTATTTTGGACAATTCTGGACAGAAATAATTGTGGTTGGTAACACCAGAAATTACAAACTCAATAAGCGGCACGAACTTGGTTGAAGGGATTTGAAGTAAAGATTGAGGCATTCCGGCATGTCTCGCAGATTCTTCACACTCGTGACAATTGTGTAGAGTCTTCCTGCTGCTTTTGCCCATTTTCAAAGCATGGTTCCTGTTTACAGAATTGAGAATAGTAGTCAGCCAAAATGTTGCCAAGGAGCAAAATGTTGCATGATTTACGATACGTTCCCATTTCCAAAATAGAAAACTGTAACCACGTAGTCAATTTCAAACCACTAAAACTTGTATGCAAACGAACTACATGTCTATAGTAATCCAGAAGTCCAGCTCGAGAGCTTAAACAGGCAGAGGAACACATTAAGAAACTGATACTGTTATTGTCAACCAATGACGAAACATCCAGAATGCTCTATTTCAATCTAATGATAGGGTGTAAATTTCTGTAAAGAATATGAGCATGCTCATTTGTTGAATCATAAACCAATACCAGAAACTAGACAGAGTCATAAGTTGCATCTAGTTCCAAGTTAAAGTACAAGAATATGCTATTCTGTCTATAATGTTAGTTCTGTTCTGTCTACAGTTCTATTCTGTCTACAATGTTAGTTCTCTTCTGTCTACAATGTTAGTTCTATTCTGTCTACAATGTTAGTTCTATTCTGTCTACAGTTCTATTCTGTCTACAATGTTAGTTCTATTCTGTCTACAATGTTAGTTCTATTCTGTCTACAGTGTTAGTTCTAATCTGCACAATGTTAGTTCTATTCTGTCCCCTTCATTTTTACTTTTCTTGAGCATCATGCACTCTTTTCTCTTGGTCATCCTCCTCCGGCCTATCATACTATGGGTTCAAAAGTGGCAGGCACAACGACGAACTCCGGCGTAGTCGAGAGCGAGATAGGGAGCGACGGCGAGCTACCGCGAAGAGGTCGGGTGGAGGAGAGGAGGGGAGACGGCGACAAACTCGGGGGAGGCTTGGGAGCCTGGGCGGAGGTGGCGACGGCGAGGAGGGCGAGGGCCAGAGCGACGAGCTTTAGAAAGCCCTTGTTTTTAAAGAGAGAGAGAGAGAGAGAGAGAGAGAGAGAGAGAGAGAGAGAGAGAGAACTGGGTTTGAAGGATTGAGAAGAAGGGATAAGGTTATTTTGGGGATTTTATCTTAGTTGGCATGTAATAATTGTTAAAAAGGGGCTGCAGCACAAAATGTCACACTTCAAGGGGCTGAACCACATGGGGGAAACTAGGAGGGGCTGCAGCACATGAAATTACTGTTTTTGGGGCCTGGACACATTTTTCCCTAGATTTATAGTTAAATATATCAAAATCCTATTTTGAAATAGAATTAGGGTATGTAACTTTAATAAAATTAAGGATTAAAAAGTTCTAAAATTAGCATATGAATATCGTATATGAGAATTTTTGACGGAAAAATTCCTGCATTGGCATAACTGATAGTATTTACGTTCAAATTTTAAAAACTTTAAAGTATATAAGCGTTAGGACAAACAAGTGAGAGTATATAGGTGCAAAGTAGGGGAAACTATGAGGTATCTATGTGCAGCTTAAAATACATGTCGATGTCAGGTTCCAGCTAAACATTAAAATTTTCAAAGTTTACAAAATCACCAGACAGCAAAAGGTGGATTTGCATCTCATAAATCTTTTTAAAAAATGCCTATAGGTAACTGATTTGCAAATTGCAATGTGACAAAGAGGAGAACTGGAATATCAATATTTTATTTTGATGTTACGTGTTCCATTATCATCTATTTTCGAAGGAAATCATTCTCACAAACCTTTATGCTCTTGTACCAATACGGAATAATTTCTTCCCTTTTTTCATATTTTACTAGAAATATTTGTGTAGATGTGACCGTTCTAATTTATTTTTAAGAACATATCTCACCTAACGTCACCTAATCCAAATCTTGCTGAAGATCTTGAAGAAACATAATTGTGAACCAAACATAATTGTTATAAAGGAAAAATGTGTACAGGCCCCAAAAGCAAAAACTTCATGTGACAAGGCCCCTCATAGTTTTCCCCATGTTGATCAACCCCTTGAAGTATGACACTTTGTACTACAGCCCCTTTTTATTAATTATCACATGTCAACTAAGCTAAAATTCCCAAACTATCATTATCCTCTCTCCTCAATCTCTCTGACCCAGCACTCATATCATCTCTCTCTCTCTCTCTCTCTCTCTCTTCTCCTCTCTCTCTCTCTCTCTCTCTCTCTCTCTCTCTCATCTCCTCTCTCTCTCTCTCTCTCACCTCTCTCTAAAACTAAGAGCTTTCTCAAGCTCGTCGTCCTGGCCGAGACGCACAGAGCATTAATCTATTAGCTAGAAGAAGCTATTAGCTAGAAGAAGAGAAGAAAAAAAAGAAAAAAGAAAGGTAAGGAGAAGTAGAGTAGAAGGGGAATGAAGAGAAATGCCGTAATTAAGAAAGAACGAAAATGTGTATTAATGTATCTCTATGAATGAAATTGCAACGGTGCCGCCGAGCGATATTCGAAGCAATATAACGAGAGGTAGAAAATGAGCCCAAATGAAAGAAAGATATCGTGTGATAGACAATATAAAGGGCTACACACCGACGCAGACGGTAGTAAAAACGGAGACCGGAGATGGCCGTAAAACACGCGCGAAGTCGGCACGGCGCTACTGTTTTCTGCTCGCTGCTGCCATCGAGCGATGTTTCGGATGTTACCGAGAGAGATAGAGAATAAGTTAGAGCGTGATACAAATTGGAGGTGATCGAGCGATGTTTCGGATGTTACCGAGAGAGATAGAGAATAAGTTAGAGCGTGATACAAATTGGAGGTGATAGGCAACATGTAGGGCTACTCACGAGAGAGATAGAGAATAAGTTAGAGCGTGATACAAATTGGAGGTGATAGGCAACATGTAGGGCTACTCACTAAAGAAGAAATCGACGGAAACGAAGATTGGAGGCGATCAGAAAGTGCGTGCAAAGTTGGCACAAAACTATAGTTTTCTGCAATGTAATTTCTCGCCGTTCGGGTTTGTTCTTCGCTGTTCGGAGATTTTCGCTGTGTCCGGGCTTACCGGAGGTGGGAGGAGGTTGTCGGGGTCGTCGGGGTGTCTCGGTGGGCTCCGTCGGAGGTAGGAGGAGCTTTTCTCCGTTCCCAAGATCCTAGAACTAAGATGAATTAGAGCTAGAACTAGCTAGAACTAGCAAGATAAAAGCTAGAACTGGCTGTATACAAGCTAGAACTAGGGGAATAGAAGTTAGAACTAACATAGAAGAAAGAACTAACAAGTGTGCATGTAAAAAACCCTTGTTGTGTTTAGAACTAGCAAGATAGAAACTAGAACTGGGGGTATACAAGCTAGAACTAGGGGAATAGAAGCTAGAACTAACGTAGAAGAAAGAACTAGCAAGTGTGTATGTAAAAAATCCTTGATGGGTTTAGAACTAGCAAGATAGAAGCTAGAACTGAGGGTATACAAGCTAGAACTAGGGGAATAGAAGCTAGAACTAACGTAGAAGAAAGAACTAGCAAGTGTGCATGTAAAAAACCCTTGATGGGTTTAGAACTAGCAAGATAGAAGCTAGAACTGGGGGTATACAAGTTAGAACTAGGGGAATAGAAGCTAGAACTAATGTAGAAGAAAGAACTAGCAAGTGTGCATATAAAAAACCCTTGATGGGTTTAGAACTAGCAAGATAGAAGCTAGAACTGGGGGTATACAAGCTAGAACTAGGGGAATAGAAGCTAGAACTAACGTAGAAGAAAGAACTAGCAAGTGTGCATGTAAAAAACCTTTGTTGGGTTTAGAACTAGTAAGATAGAAGCTAGAACTGGGGGTATACAAGCTAGAACTAGGGGAATAGAAGGTAGAACTAACGTAGAAGAAAGAACTAGCAAGTGTGCATGTAAAAAACCCTTGTTGGGTTTAGAACTAGAAAGATAGAAGCTAGAACTGGGGGTATACAAACTAGAACTAGGGGAATAGAAGCTAGAACTAACGTAGAAGATAGAAGCTAACAGTTCTAGCTTTTATCTTCTACGTTAGTTCTAGCTTCTATTCCCCTAGTTCTAGCTTGTATACCCCCAGTTCTAGCTTCTATCTTGCTAGTTCTAAACCCATCAAGAGTTTTTTACATGCACACTTGCTAGTTCTTTCTTCTACGTTAGTTCTAGCTTCTATTCCCCTAGTTCTAGCTTGTATTATCCCAGTTCTAGCTTCTATCTTGCTAGTTCTAAACCCATCAAGGGTTTTTTACATGCACACTTGCTAGTTCTTTCTTCTACGTTAGTTCTAGCTTCTATTCCCCTAGTTCTAGCTTCTATTCCCCTAGTTCTAGCTTGTATACCCCCAGTTCTAGCTTCTATCTTGCTAGTTCTAAACCCAACAAGGGTTTTTTACATGCACACTTGCTAGTTCTTTCTTCTACGTTAGCTCTAGCTTCTATTCCCCTAGTTCTAGCTTGTATACCCCCAGTTCTAGCTTCTATCTTGCTAGTTCTAAACCCAACAAGGGTTTTTTACATGCACACTTGCTAGTTCTTACATTAGTTCTAGCTTCTATTCCCCTAGTTCTAGCTTGTATACCACCAGTTCTAGCTTCTATCTTGCTAGTTCTATACCCAACAATGGTTTTTTACATGCACACTTGCTAGTTCTTTCTTCTACGTTAGTTCTAGGTTCTATTCCCGTAGTTCTAGCTTGTATTCAGCCATTTCTAGCTTCTATCTTGCTAGTTCTAGCTAGTTCTAGCTCTAATTCATCTTAATTCTAGGCTCTTGGGAACGGAGAAAAGCTCCTCCTACCTCCGACGGAGCCCACCGAGACACCCCGACGACCCCGGCAACCTCCTCCCACCTCCGGTAAGCCCGGACAGCGGTGAAAATCTTCGAACAGCGAAGAACAAACCCGAACGATGAGAAATTGCACTGCAGAAAACTATAGTTTTGTGCCGACTTTGTACACACTTTCTGATCGCCTCCAATCTCCGTTTCCGTCGATTTCTTCTTTGGTGAGTAGCCCTACATGTTGCCTATCACCTCCAATTTGTATCACGCTCTAACTTATTCTCTATCTCTCTCGGTAACATCCGAAACATCGCTCGACGGCAGCAGCGAGCAAAAACAGCAACGCCGTACCGACTTCGCGCGTGTTTTACGACCACCTCCGGTCTCCGTTTTCACTACCGTCTGCGCCGGTGTGTTGCCCTTTATATTGTCTATCACACGGTATCTTCCTTTCATTTGGCTCATTTTCTACCTCTCGTTATATTGCTTCGAATATCGCTCGGCGGCACCGTGGCAATTTCATTCATAGAGATATATTAATACACATTTTCGTTCTTTCTTAATTACGGCATTTCTCTTCATTCCCCTTCTACTCTACTTCTCATTACCTTTCTTTTTTTCTTTTTTTTTCTTTTTTTTTTTCTTTTTTTTCTTTTTTTTTCTTTTTTTTTCTTTTCTTCTTCTAGCGAATAGATTAATGTTCTGTGCGTCTCGGCCAGGACGACGAGCTTGAGAAAGCTCTTAGTTTTAGAGAGAGGTGAGAGAGAGAGAGAGAGGAGATGAGAGAGAGAGAGAGAGAGAGAGAGAGAGAGAGAGGAGATGAGAGAGAGAGAGATGATATGAGTGCTGGGTCAGAGAGATTGAGGAGAGAGGATAAGGATAGTTTGGGAATTTTAGCTTAGCTGGCATGTGATAATTGATAAAAAGGGGCTGCAGTACAAAGTGTCACACTTCAAGGGGCTGATCCACATGAGGAAAACTATGAGGGGCCTTGTCACATGAAGTTTTTGCTTTTGGGGTCTGGACACATTTTTCCCTTGTTATAATACCGAATGTATGATCTAATTCCTTGAATTATCTTTGAACCTTAATATCTACTTTTGTACTAACACAAATAAAAGAGTGGGCTCCATAGTGACCAACAATTTTTCTTGACAATATTATTAAGAAATGACTCTACATATTTGTTACCGGTAGTACAAATATAATATAAAATTTATAGTACAATTATCATTTTCTAATATTCAATACTAGTCGTGAACACCGTGCTTGACACGTCTTTTTTTTCTGCTACAGTAATCCCTTTTTTAAATGATGCGGTAATTTTCAAAAAAATTGGGTTGCTACAGTTCCCGTCTCTGCTATGTTTTTTAAATTTGATTTCATGTTTGATACAGTATTAATGCTACAGTAAATGTTATTGTAGCATGAACAGTGAATCTTGAGTTCTCCTATTTATATAGAGCAGTAGATACAAACTATTGCAGCCTTAGAGCATCTCCAACAGCTTCCCCATCTTCTTGAAATACTCAAATTTGAAGAATATAGAGCTTTTTTTTTGTCCAACAGATTCCCCATCTCATTCCCCAAAATAGGGAAGGAGGAGAAAAAATAGGGAGCCTTCCCCAAATCTGCAGCATTCTCCAAATTTTTTGGGGAGAGCTTTATTATTGTAATAAATGCGATTTTTCAAAATGGGGAAGCTGTTGGAGTTGGAGCAAAAATAATTTGGAGAATATGACTTTTGTTTCTCCATTTTGGAGAAAATTTTGGGGAAGCTGTTGGAGATGCTCTTATAACACTCTAGTCAGCTGAAGTTATAATATCTTATCCTCGTTCACCATTATCACATTCTAATTAATATGATCAATCATAATGAGCCAAATAAAACTCTTATGGGAAGTGTTTGAATATCAATTCTAGAGCATTTGCATATATACCCCTCAAATCTTCTTTATTTTCAAATTTACTCCTTAAATACTGGTATTTACAAATTTACCCCCCAATTCCCCGACATTAAGCTTTTTTACCACCGTCACATTTCACAAATTTCGTTTTAAAACTGGGAAATATTGAAATTTTTTGTTATTGTAATGTTTAGAACCAAGATTGTTAAGTGGGAAGGGTAAAAATATCCTATATGAGAGAATTGGGGTGGGGGGGGGGTAATAATTTTGTAAATACCAAGGTTTGTAGATAAAGTTGCAAATATGGAATCTTTGAGGGTTATATATGCAAAAAATTTATAACCCTCAGCCTTGATCACAACTTTAAAATTATGATAGGGACTTTGGAACAGTAACATACATCACAACTTTAAAATTATGATAGGGACTTTGGATCAGTAACATAGCAATGCAACTTTAAATCCTATTAGCCATATATTTATAGCAAATTTTAGAAAAAAAAATTTTAATACCGTTATATGAGTCCAGGTTTCAACTCATAAGAAGAACGCTCCACTCAACATGTCGAAGCATGTAAAAATATAAAATTATAATTACCAACCATCACCACAACTTCAAAGTTACTGTGTACCGCAATGGACTTCAAGTAAAAGGAAACAATAACAATAACACTTTAAGATTCAAGAATAGATCGCGAAACTTCATTCAAAACATAAAATAACTAAAATGAGAAGAGAGCACATTATCTGCACGGGTTCACTACAGGGTACAGAAATGGAAAATTACAAGAATGCTTTTCACAGAAACAAGGGTACAGCTGCAGCGCTTTGAAGGTAGCTGTAACATGGAAAGAACCAAGATCCTCGGTGGGAAAAGGCCGTGAATCATGTTCCTCGTGTTTCATTCTGGCTGTTGTCGACAAATTAAGCTATATAAACTGCAGCTTCGGAGGTTAACATTTCGCATAAAATACATTTTCTTCCTCGGATCCATCTCCTCGTGTGTTGCCATCACTAAAAATACGTAACTTGTTATCTTGAAGGAAAAGCTTATTACAGGCATTGACGATAACGTACAGGAGGAAGAAACACAGGGAATAAGATACAAGGGGACATTTGCAGGTACTACAACAAACTTAACCGAAGCAAAAATGAACTATGGATAAATTACATAAATCATGACAATGCGAGAATCAGATGACTGGACTTGATCATCTTATTTCCTTTTATCCCCCTCCGTCTGAACGGCTAGGTACATTAATGGCAATCAATATTTAGCAGACAACAGCATCGCAATGGCTGTTGAATATTACAGGGAAGAAGAAACGAAAATCACCTATATTTTCCATTTTATTGTTCTGCTACATCTAAGTATTCTCCAACTTTGGTTTTAGGCCACCACCATCGGTGACTGGAAGTCCAGCTTTAGGAGGCAAATTGTTGTTGGAAGAAACATGGATCGGATTTACAGTCTGAGGTACCTGTGCAGAGTTTGGTGGCATGGTTCTGGCAATGCCATTAATATCTGGTTCCTGGTAACTTGTTGACGTGTATTTTGCTTCTGTAACAGCATATAAAGTGAGAAACACTTGAAAGTTACGCGAAAATGTAAAGTTCTAAAGAAAGAAATTCCAGTTTATGCATCACAGGGTTATATAACAAAACTTTCTTTTGATTGACATCAAGCATGAAAATACTAGGGTTTTAGGAATCAATCTATTTGGATAAATTCGTCAAGCTGTACAAGTCCCGAAAATCATTTGAGCAGACATATTTTGGATTATGTAACTTGCCTTTTCTAGCCAAAGATATTTTGCAATTAGCCAAAAAACTTCCCTACAACAATAAGACCTTTGCCAAATGCATTCAAGGGAAGTAATCCATAATTTGGAATTTTCCAATTTGTAAATCAATAAGAAAAAGAAATATGTTTCGGAAACTAGATCACAGATACACCATTAGGAAGCATTTCATTTGACAGGCTGCCACTATTCAAGTAGTTTCACTCCTTGGAGAAATTAACTTGTATAATGTTTAAACCATAGAGGTGTTTCTAAGTTTACTTGTACTGCATGGAAGTGCGAACACAGCAAGTCAAGTCATATACAAATGGTATATTTGCTAGCAATCCCTATTGCAACAAGTATCGTTATTTTCTCTACTGCAGTCTGACTCCAGCAAAATGAAATTGGTCACAATACATATAATTACAACTTGGGTAACACTGAAGCAAAAAGGTCGTTCTTGATGGCCACCTAGTAGCTTACAGAATGACTGGCAACAACTTGTCTGCATGCTCTAATGCAGCAAGTAGCTCTCCTTGAAACCTAACAAGTAGAAGCAGAGTAGAAATTGCAACACAACTACTTCTGCAGAGAAGCGAACGGCTAAGGAAATGAAAATTACAGAATAGCACATGAATTTCTGCAGATGGTAACAGTCTTCTCGTGTTTAGGGCAATATTTACACCATACAACAGGCAAATGAACAATCTATTTGCTCGAGTTATTAGCATGACTTTGCAGTACCAGTATGACATAGTAAACGCTTGATACCAGCATGTACTCCGTAGTCAGCTTCATTTTGATTGAAAAAGGCCTGGAAAATGGATGGGGAAGCAACAGATCTGGCTACACTACCGCTTAGCAGAACACAAAATAATGGGGCAAGTCCTTTTAAGTCAAAATTAACAATGAGTCTCCTAAACTGAAACTCCATCCCACTTTGGATTTATTTAAAGCAAGAATAAAGATGCTCGGGGCCTAATAAATGCACATGAACTCAAATACATCAAAAGAATGGGTACAATGTAGGAAGTTTAAACTTTTTTAGCTGGGCAATTAAAATTCACTGAATTTTTTAATGGAAAAATGGAAAAATGGAAAAATTCACGTCATATGTCCAGATGCATGTGCCCGTGAAAATTATATTTGAAAGCAAGTTTACCTTTCACTTTCCCGCAATTGATAAGCTTAAGGAGAGAGTCACGAAATGCTGTCAGCACACCCCTCTCCTGATCCGCATAAACCTCTGACACTCTTTGGTTAGACTGAAACCTAGGAGATGTACTGGGATTCCGAGATGTCATGAACATTGTATCTTGCTCATCACACATCAGGGCAAGCGTGCCAGGTGACATAGGCCTGCTACCTTTGTGCCCATCTGCAGAGTCTGATCCAGACTCTTCTGCGCTGGTTTTATCAGCATGGGTGCCACTAGACCTATCATCGACTGATGCTTTCTGGATATCTGCATCTCTTTGTCTCTCATCCCTCACATGATTGGACGAGGCAAGTGAGCTCTCTGTCTGTTCCTCTCCCTCTGCTGGCTTCTCCTCTTGAACTTTTTTATCTGCAAAATTTATTTCAGGGTTATTTATATCAAACATAAACAGAATGATATTGGAAAAAGAATTGGGAGAAGATACACTGAAATTGAACAGGTATAATAGGCACTTAGAGGAATCAATGAATTACCAAAAACCTACTCTAACTTCAAATAGGTATAAAAAGAAATTGGGCCAGCTCAAATCTACAAAATCATTTTCAACGTATCCACCAAACAAGTTGTGCACAACATCAGGTACACATCGCATTTTGATGTCTCCATTCAATCTACACACTCAAATTTGACCTCAAATGCATACTGATATGCATGTTGTGCTGCATTATGAAAACAAGATGGAGACAAGGGAAATAGAAGATATGCCAGTGTCATTCTTCATTAACGAAAACACAAAAACAAGTAACTCTGACATGAAAAACAGAAAACTCCAGGATGATTAACTTGAGATCAGATGTCCTAGTTATGCATCTTTATCGAAAGTTAAATAGAAATGCTTGAAGAGCAGAAACTCTTCTAGTTTACTATCATCCATACCAGAGTGTGCCTTTGCAGCTTCTCCTGATACCAACACCAATATCCTGCAGAGCTCCTTTGCATCCTCCTGTTGGACAATATCCGCTAGAAGAGACCTGTAAAATCAACAAAGAAAAAAGTTTACCATTACAAACGCACCACAAGTCACAACTTGTTGCTCGATGCAAATTCAACACAGATAAACAATGATATCAATTGGGATAAAGAATTGCACTTCATATGCAAAGATAATTGAAGAAAATACCCACCTGTACGTAACTTTAGATGATCCCAATGGAGTAGGATTCACAGTACGTGGTACAGGAATGGAAGAGGAAGGAGGTCCTGAAGTCCTCAACTGACTAGCCTGATATAAAAGGATTATTGAGTTCTTTAATGCCCCAACAATTTTGTTCAAAGTCGAAAAAACATATATAGAAAATTAGAAATAATGCCATACAAGCGAACAACGCTAATGCTCTGCTTCAATCAGCCTAAATGAAAATGAAAGCTTTGCTATAGTGGAATAGGCAAAGGAATGGTGTGTTGGTAAGCTATATTACATGACATTGTCTGAAAATGCTCAGAGCAAATGCAGCAATATTTGAAGGACAGGGAAAGATGTACCTGTGGGAATGGTGCAAGCCTGTGAACAGGCTGATCTTTCACTGATGTGGGATAAAAGAGCTCCTGATTTTTTCTCTTTCTCGCTGCAGGAGATCCATAGCTAGAGGGGCCTACTGCTCCATTTAAGACAGCATTTGCTGCTTGGTTCATGTAGGTTAAGGGGTTCCCATGGTCACCATGGAAAAGAGCTTTTCTCTCTTCACTCCCTTCAAAGTTCTTGCAGTCCATACACTTACAATTTTCAGAGCAAAGAATGTTTGCTTGGAAGCATTCACAGTACTTTTTAAGGCAGCCTGATTTCTTGCAATGGCACCCTTTATTGTGCTTCCCCACCATAGCAAGATCCCCTGCTTCTTCCTGGCACAGAAATGTTTTCCTCTTAGTAGTTAGCAAAGATGAAACTCTCACGATAAGAATTTAAGAGAATAAAATTTGAATCACAAGGTCAAGGTACCAAATAATCAAATTAATCACTGGAGATTGAAAATATATGAAATGGCTGTTCTGTAGAAGTCAATTTGTTCACTTAGGTGTAGAGGAAAATTGTGATTGCTGCTCATCTTCATACGAGTTCATCTTTCTTCTGAATAGGCTCTGCATGCAAATGCAGCGTTCGAATACGCACGCAATGCATGTTAATCTAACATTGTTTTCTAAAAACCACTTTACGGATTTCCTCAGGTAATGTCTCCAGAATTTGGAAGTACGACATGGGAGCAATTTACAAAGGAGGGACAATGCTTTCGTGGTGTCAAACTAACACGTGTTCTGAGGAAAGTGAATGATTAAGGTGGTGCTTGTAGCAGTATTGCATATATACCTCTGAGATGTGGTACTCATAAATGCTGTTGAGCTGGCCTTTAGCTATTTCCAGATACAGAATTTGGATAAGATGCATGTTACCACTCGCTAGTCATAGAAATTATGTAAATGCAGCAAGATTTAGGCATTCAGAATAACAGAGTGCCCCAAAACACTGAAAGAGGAAAGAGTTCAGGAAGACACGGATGAATAATGAACCATCGGACTAGCACAAAAATGTAGTATGGATAAGATTAAATTGGAAAAAAAGAATTCTAATGGTATATAAGCTGTTGCCGATGCTAAGAGAAACTCCAAGATAGGCCTTCTTAAATATCAACATGTCCTATAATAAATGGTCCACAATTTCTGCCATAGCTCTGAGTATAAAAACAATGTTCAGCGAGGTCCTTGAAGTTTTAAAGGAAAATTAGTGGCGTAAAATGAGTTACTAGATCGAAACTTACATTATGATTCTATGTCAACTAATCATGCCTTTGGATGTTAAAGGGAACACCCATGGATGCCAAACTAAGTAGCTAAGACACATATAAGTTTTAGAAGGAAAAAGGATACTTGAAGAAGAATCAGGATTATTAGAACCTAATGCAAAACTTCAAGAATCGGGATTATTAGAACCTAATGTAAAAGTACAAGCAAGAACATATTTTTGCTTGAAATCTCATATTGAAGTTATTTAAGATAAAACAAATTTTATTTGAGAACATGTTGGGGGTTTTGGAGCCATGACAATAGAAGCTTGTATATTTTTCCCTTTTTTTCACTTGGTCGTTCAAACTGAGGATATAAAAATCAAAAGATATATCCCCATGTAACCAGCAATATACTCAAACTTTTGCATTATGATACACAATTAAGAACTACAAAACAGATTAACAATTTTTATCATGCAAAACTACCATAATTTAATGCCAATTGAGAAATTTATCAAGATATAAAGCGGAGGCATGCGATTAACTATCTGATCACTTATGACTCATGAGAAAACAACCACTCATGACTCACGAGAAAACAACAACAACAAAGAAGCTTACGTCTACTTAATACAGTTTTCCCTTTGTTGAATTCATTTTAATCTACGACGGGCTACAGATTTTTGGACATTTTGAACTTAATCCTAGTCTATTAAAGACTGCTGAAATTATCAAAGCAGATTAGAAGTTAAGGTGGAGGCCTATTAACTGGGGGATGAAACAAGATTGCATGTGCCTTCATAAACAACTCCCATCCAAGCAAATATATATATTTTTTTGGACAAAGTAAACGATACAGAAAACCAGCTTGCTAGAAATCTAAATGTAGATCAGATGGTCAACACATAATTTGGGTAGAAGATCCATTATGCATATGTTTTCATCAAAACTAGGGTCCAAGGAAACCAACTCTTCTGCAGGATTTGCAAAAGCAATATTATCTGTACGTAATTTTTTGTCTAACAGTAACTTTTCACATCTTCTGCGCCACATAAATGACGTCATCATGTTAAAAAAATGGAGTCAGGAACTGTCAGGGCGCATCATAAAAATAAGGACCCCTGTTGACATATTAGTATTAGTTAGGGACTTATTTGAAAGTTGTGTAGGGGCTTATATAAAGCCCCATAAGATCTCATAATGAATTAGGGTTTCATATTCTTTATGGTATCAGAGCCTCCACCAAAACCCTAGCCGCCTCCACCCCCTACACCCCGGCTGCCCCCCCCCTCTCTGCTCGCCACCCCCATTCGCCTCGAAAAACTCTCGCAGAGCGCGCCCTCCTCTTCCTTCGAAGGGCCGCTGTCAACTCGCGCTGGCCATCCTGCCGCTGTAACTCCGCCTGAACGCTCTGAAACCCCGCCTTGCCAGCTGCCCAGAAACCCCCTGCCGCTTGCGCCTTCACCCCCCCTTCCAGTCAAGAACCCGCCGGCCATCCTTGCCTGTCCCAGAACCTCCAACGATCAGCCGGCCCCTCTCCCACGAACACAGCCTCCTGCCCCTGTCCCGCTCAGGCCGCGAACCAACACCCCCCCCCCCCCCCCCCCCCCCCCCCCCCCCCCCGCCCCCCCCCTTTTTTCTCCGATCCTGCAAGACTCTCACCCCCGCATCTCTGTCCTGCAGACCCCCATTCTCGCGAACCCCACCTGGCAATACACGCCCCAGACCCGCCTGCAGATCCCGAACACCTGGCAGACACCCCGCTTCCGAAAAGCCCGCTGCAGACCCCCCCCCCTCTTCTGGAAACCCCCTGCAGACCCCGCCCTTCCGCGATGTTGATAGTCTTTTAAATTCACAGCCCCCCCCCCGTTGCCCGCCGCTTGCTGCGCTATGCCGGACCTCGAGTTTGGCATGGGTTCCCTCGACTCAGTCCTCGAGCTGATGACAGAAAGAGTATATATCTCACAGCGATGAGATATATCACTGTTTTTTAATTCTAGTTTCCTCTGAGAAACGAGAATTTATTGGAGATCTTACTCTTGTTGTGCAGCAGAAGTGTTGCCGAAATTTTCACTGCGCACAACAAGGGTTTGAAGAGAAAGGTGAACAGGTGTTGGATCTGAAGCTTGATCGATGGAGAAGATCATCAAGAAGTTGAACCCTGCGGAGGTGTCAACTTTGATGAAGTTGATGAAGTTGTCGGCTGATGAAAGCGCGACAAGACCATCGAAGAAGTTGGAGCTTCCGACTATCGATCTGAAGCTTGATGGACCGAGTACCTACCTGAGTTGGTCACGCGGGTGAGATACACCCTTGCAGGGAGGAACCTGGAGGGTTACTTGACCGGAGAGAAGACAGAACCGGATGAGGACTCGGGAGGACGAGATGAGTGGAAGTCCACTCATATGTTGGTGTACATCTGGCTTCTCAACTCGTTGGTCCCGACGATCGCCGCCACGGTGGATGACATTGAGAAGGTGAAGGACGTCTGGGAGAAGTTGAGGAGAACATATGATGGGGTGGGGAATAACCTGCGGGTGTTCCAGATTAAAGGAGAGATCGACGTCACAGTCCAGGGAGAGAGGACTGTACAAGAATATGCTACAGAGCTGGAGCGCCTGTGGCTGTACTATGATCATTTTTCCCCCCGGGCTAGCTGCAAGGACCCGGGATGTAAAGAGCGGGAGGCCTTTCTACAAGAGAGGACTATGGTGTTTCTCAAGGGATTGACATCAGAGTTCGCTCAGCGAATTGCATTATTGCTAGCTTAGCCAAAAATTCCCACGCTTGAGGAGGCTGTCTCTGCTATGATCCAGGAGGAGACTCGCATTCGGCTGCAGGCGGGGACAGGTAGACTTCCGGTGGTGAAGTCAGCACTGGCAGCCTCTAGCAATACTAGATCTAGGGGAGAGACTCGACAGTGCTACAACTGCGGTGCGGGGGGTCATCTAAGGCATGCTTGCACCAAACCACCCAAGGAAGGAGATTCGGGTGGACGTGGACAATTCGGAGGTCGTGGTCGTGGTCGTGGGGGTCGACGAGGTGGCAGAGGAGCAGGGAATCGGGCAAATCTGACGGTAGCAGAAGAAGACGAATCTGAGGTGGTCTTTACTGAGGAGGATCGTGCTCTCCTGGCGATACTCAGGAGGAAGCAGCAAGTAGCAGGGGATGGAGACTTGAGGAGTGGGACTGAGGAGGCATCCACTTCGTTCTTCGCCAGAGGAAATACTGCTACCTATGCTCATCCGACCAAAGCTACTGATGACATACATGCTCTTGCTTCTATGTCTCCCAACAGATCATCAGAATGGATAGTCGACTCCGGTGCGTCTCGACATGTGACAGGTAATGCTAGTGAGTTCTCATCATATACTCACTTAGCATCACCTGATAGTCTAGAAGCTCTTATGTTAGTTCAGGTCATAGAAGTTCTCGTGTATTTGACTTGGTACATTCAGATGTTTGGGGGCCTTGTTCCACAAGTTCTATGAATGGATACAAGTATTTTGTTACATTTATTGATTGTTTCTCTCGTGTGACTTGGTTATACTTGATGAAGAATAAGAGTGAAGTGTTTGGGTACTTCCAAAACTTTCATAGGAATGTTCAGACTCAATATGAAGCAGTGGTGAAGATATTGAGGTCGGATAATGGGACAGAGTATACCAACAGAGCGTTTGAAGAATATTTGTCAGCTCAGGGAATACATCACCAGACAACCTGTCCATACACACCAGCTCAGAATAGGGTAGCGGAAAGAAAGAACAGGCATCTTTTAGAGGTTGCTAGAAGTATGATGATCTCTATGAATGTCCCAGAAATATTATGAGGGCAAGCAGTGTTGACCGCAGCAGCGCTGATCAACAGAATGCCCTCGAGAGTGCTGGATTGAAAGTCTCCGTGTGAGACATTGAAGGGAGATAATGGTGGGATTCTTCCACTTAAAGTGTTTGGCTGTGTGTGCTTTGTGAAGGACAACAGGCCATCTGTCGGGAAACTTGCCCCTAGAGCTGTGAAGTGCATCTTTGTGGGATATTCTGCTACTCAGAAGGGATATCTTTGCTGGAACCCGGTGGAGAAAAGATTGTTTGTGAGCATGGACGTGCACTTCCGAGAACTCGAGCCATATTACACCCGGAAGGTAACTTCATCTGTTGGTAACTCGCCTAATACTGGAAGTATGAGGCGAGAGGAGGAGAATGGTGAGAGATCAGAAAAATCAATTTCTGTAACGATTCCTTGGGAAGGAGACTTGGTTGAGGAGGAGCAAGAGAATGAAGAATAAGAGGAGAATGAGACAAGAGGTGTTAGACCAACGGCTCAGGGGGAACTACTTACCTATAGTAGGAAAGGGAAACAAATTGCGGGAACAGTACCTACAGTGCCACTGGTGCCAAGTCCCTTGCCAACGTCTGCCCCGACTCCTGAGACACCTACATCACCACCAGATTCCTCTCAAGGTGATTCCATTCCTCTTCCTACTCATCCCACATCAATAACTGTACGGAAGACTACTCGCAGTAATGCGGAAAATCCTCCCGATAGATATGGTTGGGATCTTGCTCAGTTTGTATCATATTCTAACATCCACCCTGCACATGGAGCATTCATTATATCACTGGACTCTGTTACTATACCTAACAATTGACAGGTTGCAAAGAAGAACCAGAAATGGAAAGCTGCTATGCACGAAGAGCTAAGGGCTCTTGAGAAGAACCGCACTTGAGAGTTAGTAAAACTATCAAAAGGAAAGAGAGCAGTTGGATGCAAGTGGGTCTTCACTGTGAAGCAGAATCCAGATGGACAGGTTGAGCGCTACAAAGCTCGTCTGGTGGCGAAAGGATATAGTCAGACATATGGCATCGACTACGATGAGACTTTTGCACCGGTGATAAAGATGAGCACTGTTCGGACCTTAATCTCTCTGGCCGTAAATGGTGGATGGAAGCTACACCAACTAGATGTGAAAAACGCATTTCTTCATGGAGATCTAGTGGAGGAGGTATACATGGAGATACCACCAGGATTTGGTACAGATCAGACAGTGGGAAAGGTCTGCAGATTGAAAAAATCTCTCTATGGGCTAAAGCAGTCTCCTCGTGCTTGGTTTGACAGATTCAGGAGGGCTATGATAGGTATGGGGTACCAGCAGATCAGCGCCGACCATACCGTGTTCTTTCGAAGAAGTGGAGGTCACATCACCTTGCTTGCAGTATATGTGGATGATATGATTATTACAGGGGATGATGAGAAGGAGATTGCCCAACTCAAAGTGAGACTGGGTAAGGAATTCGAGGTGAAAGATCTTGGCTTGCTTCGATACTTTCTTGGAATAGAGATAGCTCGAGGAGCGGAGGGGATCGTCCTATCCCAGAGAAAGTATGCACTGGATCTTCTCAAAGAAACAGGAATGTTAGGATGCAAACCTGCAACTACACCGATCGACCAGAAGTTTAAGCTGGGTACTGAAGCTGGAGAACCTGTTGATCGTGACAGATACCAAAGGCTGGTGGGCAAGTTGATCTATCTGTGTCACACACGTCCCGATATCTCTTTTGCAGTGAGCGTGGTGAGTCGCTACATGCATGATCCAAGGAAGGGTCATATGGACGCAGTGTACCAGATTCTAAGGTATTTGAAGAATACCCCCGGAAAAGGGCTAATCTTCAGAAAGAATGAACACATGAGCATTGAGGGCTATTGTGACTCTGATTGGGCTAGCTGTGCTGATGACAGGAGGTCCACCTCAGGATACTGCATCTTTATAGGAGGCAACTTAGTCTCGTGGAAGAGCAAGAAGCAGTCGGTGGTGGCGAGATCGACAGCTGAGGCAGAGTATAGAGCTATGACCCTAGGAATTGCTGAGTTGCTATGGTTGAAGAGTATGCTGGTGGAGCTGAAGCTGGATCAAGGAGCTAAGATAAAGTTGTGGTGTGACAACAAGTCAGCCATCAGTATCGCCAACAACCCAGTGCAGCATGATAGAACCAAACACATCGAGATCGATAGGTTCTTCATCAAAGAAAAGTTGGATAGTGGACTACTGGAGCTAAGTCATGTTTCGACTAAGGACCAGGCAGCAGATTGTCTGACTAAAGGACTTAGCTCGGTAGATATGATTAGAGGATGTGACAAGATGGGCTTAGTAGATATCTTTCGCTCATCTTGAGGAGGAGTGTTGACATATTATTATTAGTTAGGGACTTATTTAAAAGTTTGTAGGGGCCTATATAAAGGCCCATAAGATTTTCATACATGATTAGGCTTTCATATTCTTTAAAACCCCAATTAATCGTAGGCGCAAATATTGTCCCGAGTGATGCTTAATGACGTAGGGAAAAAGTTTACTATTAATAAATAAGACGAGTAATTCAAATAAGAGAACCTTATAGACTAGTATCTTCTTTAAGACCTACAGAGACACATAGCAAGTGGGATCCATATAAGCCATTCCAGTTGCCAATGTAAAATTAGTCCAAGAAAATTGCTCAGAACTATTAACAACAAAATTCTTGCAAGCAAGTGCCTGATAATCCAAGAATTTAAGATGTCGACCAAGCCTGTTTTCTCCCAATTAACTAGCTAGCTCAAATTTGATGTTTTCAAAAAGAGAACATGTCTAAACTAAGAGACGCTTTAAGATAGTTGGGCTACAGGCTGATATTTAAAGACCTGTATTTTTTTTCTACATGCATATAGTATCTCTAATAATTCAAATGAATTGACACCCGCAAAACAATACTAGCTCAGGGAATTGCTCATTCAGCTTTTTACATGATTAGAGAATTGGTCATCCAGATTTACATGTTATAACTAAATGCATGAGATATTTAATCTTAAGAGGAAATTACTAATTCACATGATCTGAACATAACGAAGAACCTTCTTGTGCATCTTTAAGGTGTTCTTGATCACCGAATTTGATGCGTCTGAATAAATGATAGTTTGCATGCTTTTTGTCTAATTAAGTTCCTTAATCTCAAATTTTATACGTGATAAATGATGAATTTTTTGCTATTAAAATGCTTGGCTTTGATAGTCTCCATCATGTACTGACAGTAAGCAATCTAATAGACACTTTGAATTGCATATGCTTATGTCTTTTGGCAAAAACATCCCCAAAAAGCAATTACCTGCATCATAAGCATCGATTTCTTCTTTACCAGAAATATAATGTAACAAAGAACATGTCTAATAAAATTCAAGTGGGTCCTCATCAAGGATTCAGGACCGTAGATGTCCAAGAATGGACTGTGAACTGTAAAAGTAAACCAAATATGGACATACCCTACTGGCCCTGATGGCATGTGGACTGCTACCAATCTTAGGCCTAAAGGCATTAGGGTTGCGCTCTAAAGTAGCTTCAACTGCTTCATGCCTGGCAGCTTCATTTTCAACATTGTTGCAACAGTTCGCACAGTTGCATCCATCACAGTAAACGCCTGATGCAAAACACTCACAGTACCTAACGAATTATTAAAAATTAGATGCACTTGGTACAGAAGATAAATCCAAGGGGGAAATTATATCCACTACAAATGCAAATACACAGAATATTAGGAAACTAAAACATTCGCTTAAGCTTCCTAAAAAAGAAAAGCATTGGCTTAAGCTTCCCCAAAAAGAAAAGCATTGGCTTAAGTAAGCATGACTGTCGAATTGTGGATACATCCGTAATGCATATTTTGCAATCATATCATATTCTGCAGATTAGATTTGGGAAGTCAAAGGAGAAGTCATATATGTTGAATGAAATAAAGGGACCCAAAATAAAGGACACCACAGACATAGCATCAGCAACTCACTGCTTGCAGAGAACATGGAGCAGAGGAATACAATGGTTTAACTAATACCAGCCCTTCCAAGCAGGCAACACCTAGCAGTAAAAAGTTTTTTTTTTTTAGATTTTTCACATCTAATCACAAACATGATCTTTTTTTAGTTATAATTTTGGTCAACAATATTTATTAATCAGCATGCCAAAGGATAAGAAACTCCTGTATTACTACAGATTGCAAATGACAATGCATCAAATAAACAACCATCCAAAATCACACACTGGGTTTCTAGTGTATCACTGTGAATTCAACATATATGTTCAAGTGTTAAATTAAGCTATCTGCTTTCTTAGAATAGGATATAGCCATAGCACCAACCCTAGAACTTTTGCAGGTAACTTATTTCTTCTTAGAATAGGACATAGCCAAAGCACGAACCCTAGAGCTTTTACAGTTAACTTCTCTTCATAGAGTACTAAGTAGGACATCCATAGCACAAACCTTAAGAGCAGCAAAGCTTTTACCTGACTTAGAACATTTTCTGTAAAGCGACTCACACTTATTCTTACTGAAGTGATCGCAAGCACCCTACTGTAGATCAGTCACGGAATCAAGAACTATCCTCAAAACTGGAATCTCCATGTATGAATCTAATATGCATGTCTGAACTGGAAATAACAATATGCCATATGGTTCATGAGAATACTATTATCTTTAAAGGCCATAACACCAAAGTATGGTTGGGAAAGGAAAACTCCGTATCTTATAATTGTTAGTTGAAATACTATCCAGTTAGATTCTGTATTCAAGGATAACTAACTTTTGGAATTTCAAAGGATGAGATCGCTTATATGACAGATACACATGTAAATCCCATCTATTCCTCTATAATAATGGGAGGATCCAAGATACATTATTCATGCTACAGTAAATACTTAATTAAATTGCTGCAGCATTATTACTGTAGAGCATGCATGGGGTTCCAAAAACACTATTCGTGCTACACTAAATTACTGTAGCACAGGCGAGAATTGTATTATTTAAAAACTTTCATGTAGAAGTATTACTGTAGCTCAACCGTGATACTGTGGCATTTTAAAAAAATACTGTATCACTTACAAAAACTGTATTTAAATACAGAATTACTATAGTGGAAATAAAAAAATGGAGGTCGTGCTTTGCACGGGGTGCACACTAGTTATTATCCTATTATACAATCTGAATCTTGTTTGAGTGATGGGGATGGATGTGGGCTTTCCTCTTTTATCCTCTATTTACAATTACATATCAAACAGAAAGACAATCTACAGTTACTATATTTTACAAAAATCCGAACTCTTCTCTATAATAGATAATAGATCTTTTGGCAATAAGATGACTAAGAGTGGCAGGTGCACATGAAGATGAAGGTTTTAAAAATTAAACATCTTGCAGAATCTGAAAATAGGACCAGTATCTGAAGCTTGGACTGATTTTATCTGAGATACGGCCATCAATAGTATAATAATTGTACAAGATGTATCATGCAAAACAATACAAAACCAACTGCTTAGTGTTCACCAACAACACCTGCATTTATCATGATCGCTACTTTTGCCAAGCAAGATAAAGTCCAATAGCAGTCATTGCAAGGGAAATATGTTACAGAAATGGGTTAGATTCACTGCATTCTTCTTATCTATAAATGGTCTTGATGTTTACATAGAATTTTCTATGCAGGTGATCCAACCATTAAAGTAATAGTCGAATATATAGAACTCAATTTCATGCATATGAAAATGTGAATGAATATAACAATTAATGGCTGATTAATTTAAAACCAAAATCACAGCATAAATAAACAATGTAAACACTAAAAAAGGCGTAACACATACAGCTTCAAGCATCTCGAATGTTTGCAGTTACAATTTTTTTTCCTTGTTGGAGTACCATCTTTCACTTCAAATATAGCCCTTGGACGTGATTTTGGAGACTCAGGCTTCCTGGAATTAAAAAGGACAAGGAGATGATAAGAGTTGCATTTATATTCTTAGCATTGATATTACTTTATATTCTTACTTTAAAGATGTCTTGATTCGCAAAAATAATGTGAAATTTTGTCTATTTATAAGCTAACTATCTATAAGTTCACTAAATATTGTGGCTATGCACCATATACATGTGACTGAATATGCTAAAAATAAAATGAACTGTCATTTTCTTAAATTTAGATGTACAGTTCAATTAGCTGTTACTGGCTTAATATGGCAAGAAGCAGGGAGTTGTAGGAGGGGATGGGAAAAAAGTTAAGCATTTATCAGTCCATGGATCTAAAGAAACATTCCAAATATGCAGCTTGGCACCAACAAAATTTGGTGGGTAACCAGGAACAACCATGAATTTTGTCACTTAATGACTTTGGCTGTCAGTTATGAATCTGAGTATATTTTAGATTCTAAAGCTAGAGATAAATAAGAACTTGAAATTAGATCATCTCTCTTCTCCAACTAAGCAGGAGTTATTAAATAAGCGAAGCAGTACATATTAGTCAGAACTTTTTCCTTTTTTGAAAAACTAATAGAAAGCAAGAGGATGGAGGGAACGCCGGTTCAGAAGTAAAACCCAATTCATCCTAGAGAATTTGACGATCAAAGATAACTCCTTTATATCTGCATTTAAATTCAGCATAAGGAACTAAAATAGCACGTCAAATTCCTAAATTTTAAAAAACCGTAATTTGCAACTTCAAGCATGACAAAAACCAAGCGCACAAAAATTAACAAAAGTAAAATCTAAACCATCCAAGTGAAATATAGCACAATTGTTTTAAAAATAAAAGATAATTCATTCATCTCAGCATTTAAATCCATCTCCGCATTTAAAAATAAAAGATAATACATTCATCTCAGCATTTAAAAATAAAAGATAATACATTCATCTCAACATTTAAAATATAACACAATGATTTTAAAAATAAAAGATAATTCATTCTGTTAAGTTAAGTATTGGGTATTGGGTTAATGGGCTGTTACCCGTTAACCTTAACCCTATTTGTATGGCTATATATATCTCTCTTGTTTCTCAATAAACAATAATTAGGGTTTTCTCTATTCTCTACATGGTATCAGAACATGAAACCCTAGCCGTCACAAATCCTCATTCAAAAACTCTAGCCGTCGCCGCCTCTTCTCCTTGCCGCGTGCTACAGTGCCCCCGCCGCTACAGTGCCTATTCCCTCGACATCTCAGTCTTCGAACTGATGAGAGGACGATTGTATCCCTCGAGATTTCAGTCATAAAACTGATGAGAGGAAGAGTGTCTATCTCACATCGTTGAGATCTTTCACTTCTATTCTTGTTTTCTTCGAGAAACGAGAATTTCACTTCTATTCTTGTTTCATTCGAGAAACGAGAATATAGACTTTGACTGGAGCCTTTGTGCAAACAGAAGTCAGGGCTCTCTCCCTCAGGTGATATCATCTCCACGACGTGAGGACGTGACTACCTACTACTCTACCTCGTATGCCTATTGTTGCACTGCCTATTTGACTACTACATGCCTACTATATGCACTGCCTATTTTGAATACTATCTCTACTACTGCACTGCCTATTTGACTACTATCTATCTACTATTGTTACGCAAAAATAACTACTACTTCGATGTCGGATATTTCCTCTTCAACTACTCCTGTTGTTGCTGGAGAGACCTCTGCGCCTAAGGTAGTCTTGGGGACTACAATCAAATTGAATGATACAAACTATCTGTTATGGGCGCAAGCTTTTCGCATCTTCATTGGCGCTCAGAGCAAACTCCCACATCTTCTGGCATCTCCACCATCCACCTCAAATTCCACCTACACTACATGGCTATCATATGATTATTGTGTTATGACTTGGCTTATCAACAGTATGAAAGCACAGATCAGTAGCAGCGTTATGTTTTTAACCACTGAGAAAGAGATGTGGGACAGCCTAAAGATTATGTACGGGAACGAGAAGAATGTTTCCCGTGTATTTGAAATTTATGAGCGACTGTTTGCGCTCAAACAGGGAGATAAGTCAGTTCCGAAATTCTTTGGTGAATTGAAGGGACTGATAGACGAACTAGAGATGCATCAGCCTGCAGTAGTTGATGCAACGACGCTATTAAGGTATCGTCGTGATCTGGCAGTATCCAAATTTCTTTCTAGGTTGAACCCTAATTTACAGTCCCAGGTGAGGGGACAGATATTGGGTGGAGATACAATTCCCTCACTGACTGCTACATTCTCCAGAGTCATGCAGGTCTCTACTGATGTTACTTCTGATACTACTGCACCATCTCCACCTACGATGAATCATCTGCCATGTTCTCTAATTGAGACAGAGGCCGCGGTCGTGGTCGTGGTCGTGATTCAGGGGGAGGACGTGACTCCTTTGGTAGGAGGCAAGGTGAATCTGATAAGGGCTCACGACAGTGTGGTCATTGTGGGAGAATCAATCATATTTCTGAGAAGTGTTGGGAGAAGTTTGGTCGTCCTCAGTGGGCCCAGGTAGCTGATACAGAGTCAACTAACTCATCTATTTCTGCTACTACTTCTGGTGGTCCAGCTGTTACTGCTCCTATTGTTCAGATTTCTCAGGCAGATTATGAGAGGTTACGCCAGCTAGAACTCTCTCAGAACATTCATTCTGCTACTCATGCATCCTCTTCAGGTATGGATGCTTACATAGCTTCTTCTCACAAACCCTGGGTACTAGATTCTGAAGCCTCATCTCATATGACAGGTATAAATGATCACTTTGTATCTTTACATCTTTCTGATAAGTTTCTTTCTATCCGCATTGCTGATGGTACTCTTTCTCCAGTTCGTGGTGATGGAGTAGTTCATGCTACTTCCTCTTTAAAACTAACTGATGTGTTATATGTTCCTAAATTCCCTGTTAGCCTATTATCCATTAGCAAGTTTACAAAACAAAATAATTATGTGTTATATGTTCCTAAATTCCCTGTTAGCCTATTATCCATTAGCAAGTTTACAAAACAAAATAATTGTAAAGTCACATTCTTTCTATCTTATTGTGTTTTTCAGGACCTAGCAACTGGGATGAAGATTGGTTCGGGGCATGAGAGAGGAGGTATGTATTATTTGGACGACAGTGTGCTAGAAGCTGGCCTTATTGCATCACAGTCTGACTCCACTTTATTGTGGCACTGGCGTCTGGGTCATCCTTCACTATAAAAACTTAGATCGGTAGTTTCTGTTCAGCCATCTATTTCCTTTTTAGGTTGTGAGTCATGTGAACTGGGTAAGCATCATCGTGCTACTTTTCAAAGTCGAGTCGATAAACGTAGTAGTTTTGCTTTTGAGTTGGTTCATTCCGATATCTGGGGTCCTTATCGTGTTCCCTCTGTGCAAGGTTTTCGATATTTTATTATCTTTATTGATGATTTCTCTCGCATGACGTGGCTTTATCTGTTAAAAGAGAGGTCAGAGGTCTCGCACGTTATTGAACTCTTTTATAATGAAATAAAAACTCAGTTCTCTACTTTTGTTCGTATTCTTCGTACTGATAATGCTTTGGAATATATGAAAAGTGATGTTTCAAAATTTTGTGCTCTTAATGGCATTATTCATCAGACTTCTTGCTCTCACACTTCACAATAAAATAGAGTTGCTAAGAGAAAGCATAGGCATATTCTAGATGTTGCTAGAACACTGATGATACATATGAATATTCCAAAGTATTTGTGGTCTGATGCTGTTCTCACTACAAATTATTTGATTAATCGCATGCCTTCCTCTGTCCTTGATGGTTTAATACCATTCAATTGTCTTTATCCTGATAAAAAATAATTCTTTGTGATTCCCCGTGTCTTTGGTTCTACGTGTTTTGTTCAGGATTTAACTGCTGGTTTGGATAAGTTGTCATCTAGATCCATCAAATGTGTTTTTGTTGGATACTCTCGTACTCAAAAAGGATATAGGTGTTATCACAGGAAATATTTTGTGTCTGCTGATGTTACCTTTTTTGAGTATGTCCCATATTTTTTGTCTGGTTCTACTACTATTGGTTGTCCACAGGTACCACTACCTTCTTCTGCTCCTACTACTATTCCATTACCTGCTCCTGTCGCTCCTGCACCGAAGCCTCTACTGACATACTCTCGCCGTCCAAAAGTACATGCCCCTGAATCTGCTACTGCGGAACCTTCATCTCTAGCTGTCGGTCCATCTCATGTTGAGACCTCTATTCCTTCTGACTTGGATATCCCTATTGCTCTTCGAAAAGGTAAACGGTCTTGCCCGAAATATCCTATATCTCTTTTTGTCTCTTATGACCGTCTCAACCCATCTTTTCATCAGTTTGTCTTGTCCTTGTCCACTATATCTATACCTAGGTCATATGAGGAAGCTATGTTAGTACCAGCTTGGAAGCAGGCCATGGATTAGGAAATGAATGCACTACTTTCTAGAGGGACTTGGGACTTGGTTTCTCTTCCTACTAGAGCGACTGTGGTTGGTTGCAGATGGGTGTATACCCTAAAATATCGTCCCAATGGGTCTGTTGACCGTTATAAAGCTCGCCTGATTGCTAAAGGTTATACGCAGACATATGGCGTCGACTATTTTGAAATATTTTCTCCCGTTGCTCGTCTCAACTCCATCAGAATTCTTTTCTCTTAGGCTGTTAATATGAATTGGGCGATGCACCAACTAGATGTGAAGAATGCTTTCCTTTATGGTGATTTGGACGAGGAGATTTATATGGAGCAACCTCCTGGGTATGTTGCTCAGGGGAAGAAAATTATCTGTAGGTTGAGAAAGGTCATCTATGGGTTAAAGCAGAGTCCTCGAGCTTGGTTTGATAAGTTCAGCAAGGTTATTTCTAATGTTGGTTTCCAACGTTGTCAGTCTGATCACTCTGTCTTTTTTCGACGCACAACAACTGGTTTGGTTATTTTAGCCGTATATATTGATGATATTCTGCTGACTAGAAGTGACTCTATTGCCTTAACTGAGACTAAGGAGTATCTAAACCGTCATTTTATCACTAAGAACATGGGAAAGCCAAAGTTTTTTCTTGGGATTGAAGTTGCATATTAAAAACATGGCCTGTTGTTGTCCCAAAGGAAGTATGTGCTAGATTTACTAGAAGAAGCAGGTCTCTTGGAATGCAAACCTGCAAGCACTCCAATGGAGGTAAATGTTGATTTGTGGCGTGATGATACCTCTCTCCTAGATGATGCTGGACGATATAGGAGACTAATTGGGAAGCTAATATATTTAACAGTTACCAGACCTGATATTATTTTTACAGTAGGTGTACTGAGCAGGTTTATGCACAAACCTAGAGAGGTTCATTGGACAGCAGCTCTGAAGATTTTGGCATATGTCAAAAATTGTCTTGACAAGGGATTGTTATATAAGAAGCATGGGCATACTCACATTTCGGCTTTCTCTGATGCTGGCTACGCATGAGACATGGGAGATCGAAAGTTAACCTCAGGATTTTGTACTTTTGTTGGAGGTAATCTTGTGACTTGGAGAAGCAAGAAACATGATGTAGTATCACGATCTAGTGCAGAGGCCGAATATAGAGCAATGACTCACACTGCTTGTGAGATGGTGTGGCTAAGAAAGTTTATGACAGAGCTTGGTTTTGTTCAGCCTAGACCCATGCCAATGCATTGTGACAACCAGTCTGCCATTTATATTGCACAGAATCCTGTGTTTCATGAGAGGACAAAACATATTGAAGTTGACTGTAATTTTGTCAGAGATGCTTGGGAGAAGAAGATAGTATCTCTCATATTCACTCCGTCCTCACAACAACTTGCTGATATTCTTACAAAGGCTACTTCTTCAAATATGTTCTTTACTATATGTGACAAGCTGGCCATGGTAGACATCTATGCTCCAGCTTGAGGGGGAGTGTTAAGTTAAGTATTGGGTATTGGGTTAATGGGCTGTTACCCGTTAACCTTAATCCTATTTGTATGGCTATATATATCTCTCTTGTTTCTCAATAAACAACAATTAGGGTTTTTTCTATTCTCTACCCACTCATCTCAGCATTTAAATCCAGCATGAGGAACTAAATAGCACTTCGGATTCGTAAATTTAAAATTTTCACACCTTTTTACTTCGGTAGGATAGAGTGCGTAAGGTATTCAAATAACCCCCGTCAAATTGATGGATTTTAAGAAATAAAAGTGACGCCTTATTTTCAAAGAAATTTCAATTCATATCCAAAAATAACCAAAACTGGAAAGAAAGAAAATCACATACCCAATATAACTGAAGCAAGACTAAAACCAAACCCACATAAGTAACAATAATCCAGCATCCAAACAACAAACCATCAAAAATAAACCAGAAACCTAATAAAGATTTGAACTTCAACAGACTTCGAAGACCAAATTGGAGCAAAGAAACACTCACACTGAGATTGGAACCGAAGGCCGCGATATTGGAAGCAGCAGGAGGCGTAGCAGCTGCTGCTGGCTGCGGGTCCGCCGCCGCCGCCGCCGCCTCTGCCGCCATCGCCGGCGGCCCTCCGCGGCCGTACGAAGTAGTGAAATCGAGCTGCCGAACGAGCTTCTTCGGCGCGAAATCCGACGGCCCCGATGAAGTCCCTTGCTCCATCAGAGCCGTCCAATTTCACTCCTCTTCCCTTCTCTTCTCAAATCGAGGAAATGAACAAAATGAACTAAACGAATACAATAAGCAAATCTATTACAAAATTTCCCTCCTTTTAAACCCAACTGAGCTCGCAACAATCTCAAAGCTCCTCAGATCGGAACACGGCAAAGAACAAAGAGATCTCGATGCTGAAGACAAATCCAATACTGGACACCCAATTCAATAAGTTATGTGAAGGATTAAGAAAAGATTTACGAGAGGATTAAGAAGGGATTTGGGTTAAATTTCGAGAAGGAAGAGGGGAAGCGAGAGGGAAGAAGCTAATGGGTTTCCTCTTTCTGCTCTCTCTCTCTCTCCCTCTCTGGTTTTGAAAATCAAATTCGATTATTCTACGGTCGGATTTCGTTCAGGTAGCTTTGACGGTAGAGATTTGTTGTTCGGATCGTGCGGCCAGAATTCATAGGGGTCGAGATGTGGGGTTGGGGACCGCCGGATTAGAGATGATGAAGGGATTTCTTACTGTTGTTTATGGCTTTGTTTTGGGGATTTTTTTTTTTTAGGAAAATAAATAAATAAGGACGGAGTGGAATTTTCCCGCTAGAAATTATATGGCAGGTTGGTGAAGAGGACACGTGTAGGTATGAGATTTGACACTTTGGCACGTTTTGAGAATGGACGGTGAAGATTGTCTTACTTGTCACTTTGTTAACAACAGAAGATAAAACTTCTGAAATTGAATGAGTATAATATTTCATAAATTCAGGCCTTTGATATTTTATAGCAGGATTTTTTTCACCCCCCGCATGTAACGTCCTTTTTCAACAAGCTTACAACCTAAAGCCTTCCTAGCTACAAATCAAAATAAACATTCTACTTGTTGTTGGATCTTCATTTATTTTAGTGAGCTCGGTGATGCATCTATGTTCGTTTAAGATGGAGTATGTTTGAAAAATTGATAATGTTAAAACAAAGGAAAATTTGTGTCAAAGCCCCAAAAGCAAAATCTTCATATGCTTCAGCTCCTTTAATTTTTTTTCTCATGTGGTTCAGTCCTTAAATTCGAGATCTATGTTCTGCAGCCTTCTTTTAGCAATTATTACCTACCAATTATGCATATAGATAGAGAATAAAAAGTAAAAAAAAACCCCAAAATGTTATTATCTCCTCTATTCTTTCATGTTAAGTCTAAAACTAAGTTGAATTAGATTTAATACGAACCGAATTAGACTTAACATGAACCGGATTAAATTAGACTTAACATGACCGAATTAGACTTAACATGAAAGTCTATTTCATGTTAAGTCTAATTCGGTTCATGTTAAGTCTAATTTTATTTTTTTTAAGTCTAATTTAAATCATGTTATGTCTAATTCAACTTGTTTCAAGTCTAATTTAATTCATGTTAAGTCTAATTCAAATTGCTTTAAGTCTAATTTCATGTTAAATCCAATGTAATTCATATTAAGTCTAATTTAATTCATTTTAAGTCTAATAATCATGTTATGTCTAATTCAACTTGTTTTAAGTCTAATTTAATTGGACTTAATATGAAATTAGACTTAAAAGAAATTAAATTAGACTTACATGAACCGAATAAATTTAATTTAATTCCTTTTAAGTCTAATTTTAATCCAATTTAGTGTTAAGTCTAATTTAGTTCATGTTAAGTCCAGTCCAGTTCATGTTAGGTCCAATTTGATTCGTATTAAATCCAGTTTGGTTCGTGTTAAGTCCAGTTTAGTTCGTGTTATGTCCAGTTTAAATTATTTTAAGGCTAATTTAAATTGTTTTAATTTTAATTTGAATCTTGTTACGTCTAATTTAAATCATTTTAAGTCTAATTTAATTCATGTTAAGTCTAATTCAACTTGTTTTAAGTCTAATTTTATTTTAAGTCCAATTTAATTCATATTAAATCTAATTTAATTCCTTTTAAATCTAATTTAAATCATGTTATGTCTAATTCAACTTATTTTAAGTCTAAAAATTAGTTGAATTGGACTTAACATGAATCATGTTAAGTCTATTTTTAATTATTTTAAGTCTAATTTCATGTTAAGTCTAATTTTACTTCATATAAAGGCCAATTTGATTATTGTTAAATCTAATTTAATTCCTTTTAAGTCTAATTTCATGTTAAATCCAACTTGATTCGTGTTAAATCTAAATTCAGTTCATGTTAAGTCTAATAACAGTTCATGTTAAGTCTAATTTCATGTTAAGTCCAACTTGATTTATGTTAAGTCTAAATTCAGTTCATGTTAAGTCTAATAGCATTTCATGTTAGGTCTAGTTTCATGTTAAGTCTAATTTGATTATAAGATGTGAATGCTTCAACCACATGAAAGAGAGGAGTAGAAATCCATCCTTGAAATCTTAAGGACAAACACATAGTTCCCAGACCTTGTTGCCTCGTTTGATTAAATCTTTGAATGACGATGTTGCTTATTGCAAGATTTCTTATAGTATATCCCATCCTTGTTAATATTCTCGAAGTGAATAAATTTACAGCATACCCACAATCTAACATAATTCGATTAATTAGTGTATCTTCTAAATCACCTGTGACTAATAAAGGCTGATTATAAAGCTTGGAGCTCAACAGAAAGTCTTCATTAGTGAATTCGATATTTAAGACTTCTACTGGAGGGGAGGTCACTTCGGCATGGGAGAGGGTGTCTCCGTATTTTTTCAAAAAGTTATTAAGAACGTGGCAGAAGACACGTGGGCAGCTGGCAAATCATGGAGACTATTAGGCTAAAATCTGGATAAGGTTTGTTCGATGTAGACTAAAATGTTAACATAGGCTCTAGGGGAGAGGCTTGAGGCCGGGTTGAGTCCTCAACTTAGCCGACAGTAGGGAATGTCCCTCAAGTCGTCTCCGGGAATTGCCCAGTGAGGGGTCGAGTGCCCTAAGTGGGTCGTCCTCGACGATAGGGTCGAGTGATCCCACCTTTTGTGTCGACATCAAAGAATGTCGACTTGATGAGTCGGCGGGATCGAGACCTCTGTTGGGCTTGAGTCACTTAAGTGGGTTTGAGGTTATTTTGCTAGGACTCTTATTGTATCATTTTGCAAATGTCTGTATCTTGGGTGAGTGAACACCATAACAGCTGACCATTTTTGCTTGGAGTCGACTTTTATTCGGCTCCGAGGGAAATAAGATATGCTCTGATCAATACAAGCCTGTTGGGGACGAAAAAATGAGAAGTCTTTATCTTAGAGACGTGTCTGACTTTATCGATGCATCCGCTTCTCATGGCTGACGTTATCAAAGATCTGAACCATTTTTTTAGGAGATGAAGTGTCATGGATATAATAGAGGATCTTCTGCTTTTTGAGTATTGGGACGTGGGGCATTAAATGAGGGTGGCGCTTCGTGTTTCGAGTGAACTGCTTTAGATTCCGAAGTGAATCAGGCATGGTTGCTTCGAAAATCACCGCGTCCTTTGAAATTCTTCTATACTCTTCCTTGAAAGCTTATAAATGGTCTCTTAATGTTAAGATAATTTTTTTACAAACTTTCACTCTGACAAATTCCTGATATTCCTCCAAGCTTTTTAAAGAAAAAGTCTTCCATGGCCTCTCAAGTTTTAAACTCTGACTATAGTGAGGGGAGACTCGCTATTCTTCTACTTATCCGCTCGAATGTCCATATGGATAATATGGTGGGGTTGTATGATCAATACAATATCCCTCGGACTCTCACATTAGCGGCGCCAGGGATGAGCAAGCCAGTATATTGCCATGATGAGGGTCGAGTGCCGCTATACCTAGCCTACTTGGAGCATGGATTACGACTGCCCTTACACCCTTTTATCAAGAAGGTGCATGCTGCTCTAGGACTTTCCCCTTCCCAGTTCTATCCGAACATAGTAGGGGTTCTTGTGGCTTTCATCATCATTTGCCACCGTATTGGAGTCCATCCAAGCTTGACATTGTTTGGGCATTTAATCAGCGTAGGGTCGGCTGAGAAGGACTTGCATTACTTCTACCACTATCCTGGTGAGTTCCAGCTTGTCTCAAATTCTTTGGAGTTAGATGAGGACTAGAGGAGGCGATTCATGTGGGTCTATGGTGGCGACAACGTCTTCGCCTTCTCGGGCTGGTCGGAGGAGAATGAAGATGCTTTGAGGCTAGTCACCCTTAGTGATTCCGAGATGGTGGATCTGAAAAAGGACTGTTCTTATGTCAGACCATGAGAGAGTGATGCTCTATTTGATTATGTGTCTCTCTAAAAGACAGGCATATCCATGATCTTGTTTCCCCTGGCTTCCAGGCAAGGACGAGCCATATTCCTCTATTAGCAGAAAGTCGCAAGAAGAATGTAAGGACCGATGGGTTGAGTTCTACTGCTAGGCACCATAAAAAGTTGAGGAGGGTCTTCAGTGCTGAGGAGGTGGCTGTCTTGATGCCTCAAGCCACTAAAATTGTCTCTGAACTGAGGAGGAGGACAATGGTCGAGAGACAGCATCCAATCAGACCGATTGTGGAGCCCCAACTAATTGTGATGGGTCCGTGGGTAAATCAGCTTAACCGCTTAGAAAATGTGGAGCGGATAGACGAGTCTTCTCCTGGTAGGGAGACAACGATGCTAGCGGTCAAGGAGAATGTCGTCGGCTCTAATACTATTCCTGAGGAGTCTCGTCGTCCTGACAGGGAGCTGATTGAGGTGGATGATGACGTTGAGGGGAGAGCTAAAACTTCGTCATACCAGATGGAGAATGATGCTGACAGGAGAATTTTGGAGGATATGCTAAGTGTTGGCATACACCAAGCTCTCCAGGCTTGTTTGGCTCGGAGGACTTTGCTGGAGCACGTCCTATTCAATTGACTTGAGCGTTCCCTGGAATGCCAAGCAGGGCTGACTAAGGAGAAGTCGGCCAAGGAAGAGGTAGAGAAAAGGATCACTGTCTTGGAGGCCGAGTTAGCTCACAAAGAAGATGCTTGGCACCGGAGTCTGGATGAGAAGGAAGAGCTCCTCAAGAGCTTTCGAATCTAG